AGACCAATCCTCAAGCTAAATTCATAAGTGTATGAAGAGTATAGCTCCATAACACATTCTCACCCAAGACCCTTTTACTAGCTAAGCCTAGGCCTGCCTCTAAGCTAGTGCCGAACGCAAGGCAGACCTATGGTAGCATCTCCCTTATTTAGGGTGGATTGCCATAACTGCCACCTGACAAAATATAGTCTAACTCCTTTAAACTAAGGAAATTTCAGCAGCGCTTCCCGTAGGAAAAATGCCTTCTCAGAATTTATACTAAGCTAAGATATGAGAACAAAAATAATATTTTAATCCTGGTAAGTCAAATTTTGTCTAGCTCCCTGAATTAGTAAAAATTTTGGCAGCACTCCCTTTAGAAAATATGCCTTTTCAATTTTTTACTAGGTCAGATAGAACTCAGAACCTAGACTTGAGTTTCTTTTAAGACGAAGTTCAACTAACCCCTTAGATTTGTAGAAATTTCGGCAACGCTTCCCGTAGCGAAAGTGTTGTTCCGATATTTATACAATGCTAAGTTCAAAATCTAAAAAGTAACTTTGACTTCCCAAAGTCCAATTTTGTCTAACTCCTTGAATTAACAAAAAATTGGGCAACACTCCCTTTAGAAAATGAGACTTCCCAGATTTTTACTAAGTCATGTATATAATTTAGACAAACTGAACTTTTGAAAACCAAAATTTGATTGACTCCTTAGTTTTGTAGAAATTTCGGCAGCGCTTCTCGTAGAGAAAGTGGCTTACCAAGATTTATACAAGACCAGTATAATAAAAAATCCCAGAAAATGTAGAAATTGACTTAAGTAAAATAAACTTAGCTCAGAAAATACAGGAATTGCAACGAACTCCTATGACTCTAGCACGTGGTGAGCATATAAAACAACTGCCTGTCAAACTGAAACTCAGACTAAGTAGTGATCTCACTCAGCCACATGCAAGCCAAACCACAAAGGTAAATACTCTCACCAACCCCAAAACCAACCTTATCAAACAATAATTCATGATATTTCAATGATTTATCCCTTTATACCTAACTTACATAAGATATAAAGCTAGATCACCCGATCTTATGAGAACCTGTCTAGCTCAGCCATAGAATATACACAAACACAGAGCACTACAACTTTTTTATTCTTTGGGCCCATGATTAGGTTAGCCAGCCTAGTCGCCCTGAACCATTTAAGTATCCAAGTTATATATAACTGTCTGCACTTTGTCTTTTAAGGCAACATATGACTGAACCGGTCATCTTAGTTCAAGATTCATCCTTTCTCTTCTTTCCACAATTTTTATTCTTAATTGATACTCTCTTAAGTTGGTGATAAACTATAGTCAGACCATCCAATCTTATGGAAAAAAGTCTGACTAGCCTGTTCATAAATAAAGTAGTATAGAATATAAACAATTTGAACGTTTTGATTCCAGCATGTGCGCGACTTAAGACCAGACCACCCAATCTTATGGGAACCTGTCCATTCCTTTCCTTGTACTTCTCCCTAAAAAATAAAACAAGATGGAGTCAGGGTCATCCAATCTTATGGAACATGCTCAACTCTCCTTCATAATCAATAAAACATAAGAAACTCAAAGAAGCCAGACAACCAAGTCATCCAATCTTATAGAAAAATGCTTGGTCCCTGAAAGTCAAACACATGCAGCCCTCACAAGTCAAAGCAACCAGACCACCTAATCTTATAGGAACCTGTCTGGTCCTTCAGGCAATCGAAAGGTAAACATAGCACTGAGCCCTCCAATCTTATGGAGACTCTCCCAGCCTTTTGGTTGACCCAGTCAGACACAAGCAATACAACCTTCCTCCCACCTTTCCCCGATATGCAATCCCTGTTCACAATCTGCTTTCAGTCAGACAACAAAACTGAAACTGACATTGGTCTGGCTTATCATGAAAGTCAAATTGAAAGTCAAAGTAGGGATGCAGGCAATATACTCAGTCAACCATAGCAAGACGTACAGGTAGGGGTTATAACTGGGTTTATAGAGGGAGAGCAAATTATTACCTCTCAGTTCTCTGCCTCCATAACTCCTCCTGAGTTCCGGCAGAGCTCCCGCAACCGGTGGGCTGACTCCCCACAGAATCTTGCTGCGGTCTTATTGGTTGCAATCCCGCCTGCCGCCTTCCTCTCGTAACCAAGACTAGACTTATATTAAGAAGGGCAGAAGTAAGGGTTTCAGACTCTCGAGATACAGGAGGGGGACAAGCTCAACTCCCAGGAGAGGGCCTTGTTGCCTTGATACGCCTGAGGGCCCCGCAATGATGACCAAAAACTGCAGCAACTTGGTCAGACTAAAACCCAATAGTCAAACATTGACCCGCTGACGACCTTGCCAGCCAACAATAACCCCTTTTCACAACTTGACCCCCCCCCCCCACTTGCAACCTACACCCTCCAACTAACTGTAGCTACGCAACACAATAAGGGTGTTTTTCAAACAGAGCACGCCTCCCTGAAGGCATTACATGTGCGTAGCCAAGGCATAATATGTACAATGAAATGCAGCAGTATGCAGCAGATAACTGTTCGCACGACCATACCAGCAACAACTCAATAAGAAGTTGCTCACTAAACAATGACTTGACGACCGACAGCAGCTTGACGAACTCTGCAGGCTCCGCAATAATGCCTCCGATTTGAACGGGTGTTGCAGCAATTCGCGGCTGCAGTGAACTCTGCCCCCCCCTCTGCTTCATCTGATGGGAAGACGGCACCCCGACCAGCAGGCAAGTACCAAAAGCCCTACAAGTCACTCCTCCAGGATGGATGGGCAGCGAAATGGGCATTAAGTAAGCTTCCAAGCTCACGGCCGACCTTATCTTACTGCCATGGACCGGATAGGCTAACCAGGTGGACATCCAAACTCCGCTACTGGCCTTCCACTGCTCCAATTGACGGCCAATCTCCCGGCCCCGGGGGTTGCCCCCTTGCTGCTTTTATCGACTGAGTGGTCAGCGCACTGACCAGCAGTAAATCTCCAGCCTCGCAGTCTGGCTTCGCGCTACTCCATTAATAAAATGAGCAAACCTCGATTGAATCTATCGCTAGATCGCAGCCGGGTGCCTCCCTTAGGACAAGCCTCGCACTAGCCAACAGATATATCTCCTACCTCGTTGCTGCCTTCACACCTCTTCCATCGATAGGCTAACCAAAATCGAATGAATCTTCTACTAGAACGAGGAACTATACGTTGCTGCCTCGATGCCTTGCGCTCCGCTGCCCCACAGCTCTTGCTTTGTACCCGCCAACACCATCTCCGCGCAGCTCTCTCTTTCAGTAACTGCTAACTAACTTGTTCTTTGACTGATCTGTCTACAAATTTGGGGTTGCCCGCCCCGAAAACCCCGACTCACTTCCATGGATCGCGGGCTTTGCCCTGAAAATGAGCGGGAACGACCCTCTCCATTCCCATGTTCCTCCTTCTCAACGTCTCCTCGCGCACCACTTCTTAGTGAACTCTACCCTTACTAACCTTCGTACTAATCTGACCTTATTATCGGATTCACCTCACCTAAGAACCCCGATTTTGCATCTTTCCTGACTCGATTCGGTTAAGAATGAAGCGAATTCGAGCGCTTCTTCTCGTTCTCACCATAGTTCACCCTCTCCCTGCATGCACCCTGCACACCTTGCTGCCCAGGTTCGTCCGCCCTCTTCGATGCCCTGTCGCCTCTGCACTCCTCTCTTCCCCATCTCAGTCAGAGCGCGTCTGTGCACTAACTTCGGCTTCCAAACAGATATCGGTCGCTACTGTCGGCAGGCCGGAAGTCATGAAGGTGATTCCCGCTAGGGAGTGTGGCCGAATCAGTAAGTGCGACTGATTCTCGACGCCTGCCACCTCGGCAGCCCCAACTCCTGCGAAATTATGAAGGGAACCCGCTACTAAACGGCCAGCTAGTCTTTCGTCCCTACGGCTCAAGTCAGGACGACGATTCGAGTGTTAGCGTCGTTGCGGGCCTCCATCAAGTTCCCTCCATCTCTGGTTTTGGCTATATCTGGCGCGAAAGCACGTCCAGACTCCTACCCTGTCCCAGTTTCAAATCTCTATCTCTTCCCTGCTCCTCTGCTAAAACAGCCTCCAGACCGCAACAAATTTCGCAGCGTCCAGCCACCAAGTCGAAAATAGAGTAGGGAAAGTCAAAGCGCTCATGTGTTTTCCCCGGCTTACACATACCATCTTTGCGCAGGGGCCATGCTACTCTTCTCTATATCATTCCAAATTTTAACGGATGTCCCGAAGGACTTAGCCCCGACTAGTAGTCGCTCCGACTAGTAGTCCCAACTACTTCGAAGGAGAGGCATCGGAGAGAAAGTGCTGCTAGACGGTTCGATTAATCTACCGCCCCCCTATGTCGAACCCGACAATAGCTGGCACGCCAATATCACTACAGTCTTTGCTGAGCTCCCTCTAGCTGCTCCACCCGGGCACAACCCCTTCCCTTTTTCCTCCTTGTATACCCATCGACCAACCAGCATACAGCTGGAGGCGCGGGCCTGTTGTTGGCCCCTAACTCAGTCTCAGGCGATACGAGCCCCAATATGAATTTTAATGGCATTAGCGATTATTTAAACTTGAACTTTTGAAAAGGCCAAAGTGGGACGGGGATCCATGGAACATGTGGGGTGCCCAAAACAGCCATGGGCCGTCTTACTCAGGGATCGGTCACCATCTTTTGGGTTCCCAATGGACATGCTCACACTCAAAACCTCTCATAGCAAATTTTGATGTGCGGGATGAGAGAGTGGGGGGATCTCACTCACGCAGTAGCCGTGCATAGGCGGGGATCACGACTCCTACCGTGACGAGGCCTCAGTCGTCCATTCCCCCACCTCCTGCTCCAAGTTCGGCACCACCTCCTACTTCGAGTCCTCCGCCACCTCCTGCTCAAAGTCCGGCACCACCTCCTCCTTCGAGTTCTCCGCCAGCTCCTGCTCCATATCCTTCGCCACGTACTACTCCGAGTCCTACGCCACCTCTTGCTCCGAGTCCTGCGCCACTTCCAGCTCCGGGTTCTGTATCACCATCGCCCGTTTCGCCATTTCAGCCGCCTGCTACAGAGGTGGAGATGCAGGAGTTGGCATACTCCTTGCCTCAACACGGTCTTCTGCACAGATCTACGGCGATTCGCGGGCTGAGGTTACGATCACCTTCCCGGGGGTTTTTGCAGGAGGAGGTTGGACACCGTGCCACTCCGACGAACATGGGGGGGGCAACCGTAGCGGAGGTGGAGGTGACAGCAGCGCTAGCGGTGGAGGCGGAGGTAGCAGTAGAGGAGGAGGAGGCACGAGTAGTGGCGATGGGGGAGGAGGAGGTGCGAGTTGGAGTTGCTGTGGTGGGAGAGGAGGTGGATGGTGTGGACGTCGAGGAGCGTCTCGTGCAGCAGTTTATCACCGAGGAGGTCGATCCAGTGGTGGGCGGTTTTACCCCTGGTGTGGCGAGGGGGCTGGGGATGTCTCCTCCCACAGGGTATGTGGATTCGGAGATGGGGACCTACTTCGACGTTAACCTGTCGATGGGCGCTCCCCCTAGTTGCGGCGGGGCGGCATCGGCTGGTCGAGCGCCTTCGATGGACAAGGCAGCAGGCGAGACGGGTTCACGTGCCTCGAGAGAGGACGGCGGCTGAGTCTCCAGATGCGGCACGCGACATCATAGACCGAGAGAGGGCTCGACTTATGGCATCCAACGACCCACGTGCTCAGGCATTCGCACGAGCCTTGGAGGAGCGCAGGCGTCGAGAGACAGGGAGAGATGGTCGGCAGGGTGGGGTGGTGGCGGGGGCGGTCCGGACAGACGTTACAGAGGCGGTGGCAGCAGAGGCGGTAGATGAGGTTGTGGAGGGTGGGCCACAGACAGTGGCTGAGGCTGTGGTTAGCAGGCCACAGACGGTGGACGAGGCTGTGGAGGCTGGACAGGGGCGAGACGGGGGGGCGGGTGACTCACGGGCCGTAGTTCATGACACAGCGATGGGTCAGGTTCTCCCGTTCTCGGGCATGAAGTTGGCCGAGGCCCGACGGTCGAAGCCGACTGAGGTGGCAGTGCATGATGTGCCATGTGTTGTTATCATGGACTTGGGGTCCGAGCCGTTGGTTGTGCGTCCACGTCCTAGACGACCGGCTACGCAGGAGGTTCATCGTCCATTGGATGCAAAGGAGTTGGCGGCAGCCGCTGTGCTCGATGTTACTCGATTGAACCGACGGATATTTGACCAGAAACTAAACCATCCACCGTGGCAGACGATCCCTTCCATTCCATGGGCCCCTACATCGCAAGTGTGGTCCGGGTCTACCTCCACCGGAGGACGCAACAGGGCAGATGTTCCTGGGGCTGATGGGGGCGTGCAGGAGAGAGCGCCAGGTGCGGGAGACATGCCACCCCCTCCTCCTAGACCACGTGTGGGTGATCCGGTGTCGTTGCCGACAGGCCCAGGCTCTCGATCCCCTCACACGCCCGGGCGATTGAGGATTCGTGGCACGACAACGGTTCAATGGGATGTGTGCGACACGACGCTATTTGGGAGGACGAACATAGATTTGAATTCCACCCATCGTGTCACTGAGCTCACGGCACGCCTTCAGCCGGGTTTGGGAGCCCGGGGCGTCAGGAGGACTGGAGCGAGGGAGGTTTCAACTTCAGGTTATGAGCCACAGCGAGGTCGTGGCAGAGGAGTGTCTACAGAGACCTTGGGTGATGCTTTGAGAGCTGGGACGCGTGATGTGCATGACCAGACTCCACCCAGCGTCCACGCCCCGTGCCTGCAAAGGGAGGCGTTGCACTTGGAGAGTCTTCGGGGGCGGAGGGGTTGGGGATGCCTCGTGGATCCTGCCGTCAGCAGACGGTCGCACAGGCTAGTGCGAGCGTTGTTGTGTTGAGGAAGGGAGGCGACCTTGTCACCATCGAGGAGGATGATCCTGAGACGACACCGGCAGCACGGGAGAATGATGAGGACTATGAGGGTGAGGAGGAGGGTGAGGAGGAGGAGAGTGAGAGCGGGAACAACGGTAACGACGACGACGACGAGGATGAGCCCCTAACCCCCCCACCGACGCGCGCTTTGAAACGTGTTGCACATACGTCTCCACCCACACGAGGGAAGAGGAGACAAACATCCAGCCGTCGACGGGGCATGAGCAGGCAGAGCGGGAAGGGGAAGAGAGGGGTCGGTGACTTCGTTTTCCCGCACCTGCACGCGACTTCGTCACATTCTGCCATCCAGGGTTTTTGGTCGTCTTGTATTGTCAGCCTGTCAGGTGGTCACTTGTAGTGTGCGTGCTGTAGTTGTTGTTGTTTTCTTCTTTTTTGTGTGTCTTATTCTGGTATGAGTAGGGCTTCTGTACAGTATTACAGCGTTGGTCTTAGTAGAGATTCTCGCCACCGTCGACACGACTCGTAGATTACTGTTTTTTTCCATTATTCAGCATGTGGCAGTGTGGCACTAGCGGCGTAGTAGTAGGACACATTGTATTATGTTACGTTTTTCATGTATGATTTCAGCGACTGGTTCTTCACGACTTCTCATATACATTACATTTTCCATGTATGATTTCAGTTACAATTGTTGGAGGTCGTGTGAACGACGTTTCATGTCTATTTTTGTCAGCGTGTGAATGCATATGTTTTAACGGCACACCATCAAACTTTTCATTTCATATATTTCACTTTTTTTTTTTTTTTTTTTTTTTTTTTTTTGCCTGCAGATTTTTTAATTTTTTCTTCTTCTTTTTTCAATTTAGTTCCCTTGCTTTTGAGGTTTGTACGGCCTACAGATTTCCAGTTTTTCCTTTCAATTTCGTTCCCTTGCTTTTGTATTTCTGAGTTGCAGACTGCCTATGTACACTGCTTTCATGCGTAAAGCTACCTCGAGGAACGATAGCCAAGTGCGTTCCCGTCCAGAACACGCTATGACCGGCGGGATTCTGGCAGTTTCTCATCTCGTAAACTTCGACGTGATCCAGCCTATGTGGCGGAGTGCTACACACCCTTGAACTGCTGATATAATGACAAGAGTTCGGATCCTCGAAGGAATCCACTGAATGAAATAACTTTGAATTAGCCGGGGCCTTGTCCCACAAGCGGGGGTTTAGTTTATGTTGCCTGTATTATTCAACGTGGTCACACTGTGGCCGTGAGATTTTCAGATAGGATAGCAGGGAGCCCCATGTATACTCGAAAGCAGAACTAAACCTTGACCAGTGGGACACGGCGCTCGGGGCGGGTAAGTTGGATGATGATACCTCAACGCCGTCGCCCTTTCATAAATAGAAATAACGTTGAATTACCCGGGGCCAAGTCCCACTTACCCGGCCGTGGTCCCATTAGCGAAGAGCATCGGATTGAATGCCTGAATCTGGACGTGTTTGAGGACAAGAGCAGGAAATGGAGATAGACATGCTTTTCTGTATCTCTGCATAAAACATAGCCAGATTCAGGATTTCTATCCTATCCCCTTCGCTAGTGGGACCACTTACCCGAATGATCGATTTCTAAATGAACTAAATGAAATAACGTAGAATTACCTGGGGCCAAGTCCCACAGGAGTTCGAATCCTCGAGCGAATCAACTAATTGAAATGAAATAACGTTGAGTTACCCGGGGCCAAGTCCCACTGACCCGAATGATCGATATCTGACCGCAGATTTGGAAGATCAACGACCAGAAATCAAGGATCAGCGTAAGTGGGACTTGGGCCCGGGCGGGCCAAATAACCGGGGACTTGGTCCTGCTCGCTGGGGTTTGGTCTTTCTTTCGAATATTTGTCCACGTGGTTACATTGCGGCCGTGAGATGCTCAGATAGGATGGCAGGAACCCCGGTCAGTGCAAAATGAGAGTGAACCTTCCCCTAGAACGTAGAGAGATACGTCGTCAAATATTTTATCTTTTCTGCAGTTTTGGCCGTGAGATGCTCAGATCGGATGGCAGGAACCAGGTCTAAAACCCCGCTGGTGGAACTTAGCCCCGGGGCCCAAGTCCCACTTGAATTGCTCAAGAGGTATAGATCGTTGATCTTTGCTTATCTCCGGCCAAAGTTTCTTAATCCGTGTGAATGGGACCTGGCCCCGTGTGCACAGTGGAGATACACCTCCTTTTTTACATACTGCGCAGATAAAGATAAACCTCCAGAGAGAAGTGGGCAAAGAAAGGCCAAGCTGTCCTGCGGGACATCTGTTAATTTTTTGTATTTCATTTTTGTTTTTTGGGAAAAAGAGCGGCGGCCTTGGGATATCATTGTAGAACTGACCGGGGCCCAGGCCGAAATTCAGAGTGATCCCCTTCTTTTCTGCTTTTTTTAAAATTTGAAGTAACAAGTCACAGGCGCGCCGCGGCGATGCCGCGGCAGGCGGGGCGCTGGCATGTGTGCGTGTGTGTGTG